ATTAAAGCTAAAATAAACTAAAACTAGTCAAAAAACAATAGTCCCCGGCAACGGCGTCAAAAACTTGATCGTTTGATTACCCGCAAGTGAACGAGATCGTGAACAAGTAATATAGTAGTGTGTAGAGTGTCGAACCCACGAGGACTATATATTTGATCTAGTTAAAATTAATAATACCTTTAATCGAATAGCAAAATCAAGTTGTGACTAAAAATATTAAATCTGGCAACTAAATTGAAAGCAAAGTAAAATTTATCAAATTCGCGAGAAATATTGATAAGATGTGGAATCCCCCTTACTAATCCATTTTTAGTTTGACAATTTAAATTGACAATTTGAAATCATGCTTGTTGGTCAATGTTCATATTTTAATTGAAAGCCTCTCTCGATAGTTATCAAATCTATTCCCCTCATACGACCTTCCTATCCTTTGATGAAAGATGCGAATATGATAAATGCATTAAACGAGTTAGAACATCTTATAAAAATTATATGAAGAATAGAGGTATATCTCTATCCTCTATCGAACCTCACAATATTTATTATTTTGTGCTAATGATCCTATTGTCTCTCTCGACAATAACAAAGTCCCCAAACAATTCAATTAGTGGCCAATTAATTGAAAAGCATGAAAACGATGATAAACATTCAAACAATTAAACAAATTAACGTCAATTAAGCCCCCGTTTGGCCCCCATTTTCTAAAAATGAAAATGGATGGAATAGTGTTATTTTGAAAAATGAGTGGTTGAAAAAGAAGGAAAAGTTTTCGATATACGTGTAATATTGTTTTATGAAAGATTGTGTGGTTGAAAATAGAAGAGATAAAAATGAAATGTAATGTAATGAAATTTAATGGGGGGTCAAACGAGGGCTAAATTATTCAAATTAAAAATTCATAACAGGAGTTCATCACATCCTAGGAAATATAAAAAATTAGCCTAACATATTGAAATTACAAAAAATCATATATAAGTGGAAAGACATAACCCGAATTTTTGATAAATTGTGAAGATGAAAATAAATCTTGAAATCTTGAATCTTTTCAATGGTTTCTTAATGAATCTCCACTTGTGCTCTCTCTTCTTTGTCCAATACCAAGTTTGAATCTTCACTTGATTGAATTCTTGCAAGTCCCCTTCAATTCTCTTACAAGAACAATGAATTCTCCTCCTTTGATGATGATAATTGATGAATATTGGATATATGATGTATAAGAGATATGTATGAAAAGCCCCGTTCATGTATTCTCCTGTTGGGTATCTGTAGTGGTCGAAATTTGGTGAAAAATCACGTCCAAATTGGTTTCCAAAAGAGTTCCAATCGAATGAGGAAAGTTATAGCGCGGATTTTTTTTGTCTATGCACAGTAGTCAGTATTTTAATCATAACTTTGCCTCTTGATGTCGATTGAATTGATTCAAAATACATTGGAAAGCTAACTAAAAGGGCTACAATTTTTTTAGAGATAGATATTTTCCAATTCGGACGTTTACTATGCCTAAAATTGATCGCAATCCTTGACAGAAAATAAGAAAGATCATGTAATTGGAAGTCGATTTATGGTATATTTTGATGATATTTCATTCCTTTCTGACTTCTAGTTGTATTCAATTGACTCCCATCAATCTTTAAAATATCTCTTATGGTCCAATTCAACCATTGGATATTTGCAATTTGGTCCTCAACTTTGTACTTCGTCATTTTTCACCGTTTTTCGCTTCTTTCTTTCAATTTAATTTTCAACTATCGAGTTTTATCTAATAATAAAATATACCATAAATTAGGCTATAATTACTTTAAAGAACTATTAAATATCTATATTTTTAGATCTACATAAGTGTATAAAATACACTTATCACCCCTCATGTGAGAGGGCTATAAGTATGTATAAGCAGAACAATCCTTACTTTTATGAATTAATCTAGTGGTACATAATGAGGTGTACCTAAACGTATACATCCCTCTCACATGGGGTGTGGGATCCACCCTTTTATTGATAAGAAGTAATATACAATCGAGTGGATATGAGCTTCGCATGATATGGAGCTATAAATCTAGTTTAATAGCTTCTTTTTGTCATCTTAAATTACTCTAATTAATAATTCAGTAATCCAATTATGAGGATGTATTTGAATAATGCTATTTAACAATAGTTTAGGTGGACATGTTATGTTCAATTAAACGAATTATGTAGCATTGCATTTAAATAAATCTATCATGGAATATCATGCAATTGTCATTTAGATTGATGCTTGACATTAGTACTGATGAATATTACTCGTCTACTACAGGTGCTAAATGTTGAAGGCTAATTATGGAATTAACTCCTCAACTTTCAAACTGAGTATTTGATTCCCCAAGCTATTTTAGAGCGATAAAAAGTTATTTTGACCGATAAAAAGTCAAAATTTTCTCTAAGATGAATATTATTCCCTTGTTATGTAAACATTAGAAGAATAAAACCAAAAAAAAAAATACAGAAGAAGAAGAAGAAAAGATTAACTGATTTTTTTTTTTTTGGTTTATTTTTGTTTGTTTAATATTTTTTTATTTTTCACCTTTTTTAGGTTTTTGTTTTTTATACTTTTATTTTTAGTTTATAGTATTGGTATAATAGTCATTCTAATTTTTATTTTTATTTTTACTTTTAACCATTAAAGTGACCAAAACTCATAGGATTGCATAAGTGGAGTCAAAACCTTAGTTCAAAGGTTTGGGAGCCAATTCCATGCTTCATGAAGGATTGGGAAGTCCATCCTAATTTTTTACTAAGAATTTAAATATGTTTGCAAACATTTTTTATTCATTTTTTTTTCTAAATACGAGAAAGATGATCACATTTAAAACAAGTTTGCTAAGTTTAAAATTTATTTAGTTCCTATTTGAGTCTCATTATCTAAAAATTCATTTTTTCTCAGACTCATTTTCAACCAAATTCTTCAAATAAAATAATTTTACACTTAAACTTAAAAATTTTTTACTTAATTTTTAACCACGTATTCTCCAAAATATAATTTTTTTTTTTTTAACAAAAAATGAAGCTCAAACAAAAGCTTAATTTTTTAAAACATACCGTGATAAACTAATTTAATTTCTTGTTTATTATTATTTTTTACTTAATTTTCAACTTTGATCAAAAAATTATTCGCTTTAAAATTTGATTTACTTAGTTTTAAGCTTCGGCAATCATGCACTTAATAAAAAAAAATACTAGTATCTTCTTAAGGAATTAATTATCTCAATAGTCACTAAATTTAGGTTGGCATCTTCGATTACTCAATACACTTTAAGATGTTGAGTTTTGGTCACTAAAAATGTCAAATATTACTCACTTGAATTACTTCCGTTTCGTATCTTTAACAGGATAGTTGACTTGATAGATGGATTTCATAGCTAGCTCCCTATGTATTACTGTTAGATGTCCAATTACGAAAGAGGGACAGTCCACATAAGCAATGTGTAAAGGTTGCTCACTAAATTTTTGGCCGACGTCTTTAATTGCTCACTATAATTTATCAAGCGTATTTGATTATTCACAATACTTTAAACTCATTGAGTTTTGGCTACTAAACTTATCAAAGTGACGTTGTGAGATATGAAAACACGAGTTTGTTTATTTTCTGTATTTAATGTTGTATTATTACGTGTTAAAGTACTTTTCAGACTTAATTATTTATTGAATTATTTCGCTGATGAAATATAATATGGGACACAATCGAATTAAATTCGATCACCATTCCCTATTGGTAGTAGCTCGTGTTTGATAGAGATTAAAATCAGATTTTTAACAATTTTTCATAAAAGTTGATAAAATATGTTGTTGAAAAATTGTTGATCATGTGAAATGTGTTGTTAAAATTTATTGTTAACTTTGATTTAGATTTTAATTAGATTTTTTAGTGGTACCAAATAGGGGCTTAATTTTTTATATTTTATTTTTAATTGGGTAACAATACTTTGATTTGATCTCACTTAAAGTGACTTTGATCAAACATAACTATTTGAAATGTTACGCAAATGTGAAAATATAACACAAACTTTTTAACTATTAACAGTCGAGCATGTAATTTCAAGCAACATTACTTCTTAAATTTGAAAATAGAACACTTGCCTAAAAAATTACTCAAAACCGCAAAGCAAGGGTCTAGAAATATTATATTACATTATAACACGAAAATCTTGTTCAATAGTATTCAATGTTAGAAGGAAGCTATCATTAGGCAAGCGTTCTATTTTTACATTTCAGAAGTTATGTCTAGATGAAATCACCTTAAGTGAAATTAAATCAAAGTATGGTTACCTAATTAGAAAAAATTTAAGAAAAAATACCAGCAGGGAATGGTGATCGAGTTTGATTTGAGTTTATCCTGTATTATAATCCATCAGCGAAAAAATTCAATAAACCGTTCAACTTGGAAAATTTTTCTAAACACATAATAATACAATATTAAACAAAAATAAAATTTGTTTTCATATAATTTTGGCGTCACTTTGAAATTTAATAGTCAAAACTCGACTAGCTTAAGATATAGTATGCAATCAAAGATACATTGCTTATGTGGACTATCCTTCTTCCGTAATTGGACATCTAACAGTGATGGGTCTCCGGCTATGAAATTCGTCCGCCAAGTTAGCTATTTCGTTAGAGACAAAAAAACAAAAGTGATTTCAATAAGTAAGGTTTGACACTTTGAGAAGTCAATTGACCAAAATTCAGCGTCTTAAAGTGTAATGAGTAATAAGACTCTAACTTAAGTTCGATTGGTATTGAGATAATTTAGCTCTTGTGTGTATGTCACAAGTCATTAAAAAGAAGTCACATCAATCAAATCTTTTAACAAAAAAAAAAATCCTGAATATGATACATTAAAAAAAAAAAAAGAGTAAAATACGTGTCAACAACAAAAAAAAATAATGTCACAATCATACTGTTTTGTTAGTTTACTCTAAATTCTCGTCTCTACTCTCCAACAGGGGCTTCCACCCCATATCTTATAATAAAAAGTGTCTGTGTGAAGAGAACTGAGTTTGCATATATGCAAAGAAGTTAACAATGAAGAATTCTTGGGATCACAAGAAAACAATGATGGAAGAACCTCTTTTGGAGAGTACTCAAAAGGGTGGCTTGAGAGCTCTCCCCTTCATCATAGGTGAAGTGTATATATCTTACATATATATGTGTACACATCCACACACACATATTTGGGTGGAGTGGGGTGGGGTGGGTTCTTGATCATGGACATGGATGAACTATTATAAATTTGTATGTGTTGCTCTTTTTTAGTTACTTTTTTATTATTGTTGAGCGCGAAAGAAGGATTTAGGATTTGATATCACTTATCAAACTATTATTCTCATAACTATATAATTTTTGTGTACTCATTAATCCAATTATGAATTGGGTTGGTTTATGATTTTCTTGTTGAAGTTTCTTTAAAACAATTAATTGAAATTTACTTTAGTTTTTCATTATTTGTTTTACAGCAAATGAAGCATTCGAAAAGATGGCTACTTATGGGCTAATGCCAAACATGATACTGTATTTGATGAAACAGTATCATATGGAAATGACCACTGCATCCAACATTATGTTTTTCTGGTCAGGAGCTACAAATTTCATGCCTGTTCTTGGGGCTATAATCTCGGATTCCTTTCTGGGTCGGTTTCGTACCATCGGATTCGGATCTATTGTTTGTCTGATGGTAAATTTTCTTTTTTAATACCGTCCAACGTTATATAATGAACATGATCATATTGTCTTAATTTTCTAGATTTTAGTATAATCATGACTTTTCATTATTGTTTGACGTTTTTTGTTTCTTTTAATCAACACTTTACTAAATTTTTTTTTTTTTTTTGTCACTACCAATGTTGATAATATTTGAAAGTAAATTAAGACATCACGGTCAAGACATATGATTTGAATTGTTTTTTGATGTTTTCTTTAGTGCAGAAGCCAACAAAATTTTATTGGAAAGACCAATGCATTTTTCAAGGGCAGTTTCTACTTGTTCGGCTTATTTTGTTGGATGGGTCCAGCGTCATGACGATTGTATTGAAAAGAATATGCCAAGAATTATTTAATTTTATGGCATGTTTGACGTAGATTTTCTGAAAATAAATTTTTTTCCTAGACAATGTGATTAAAAGTAGGAAAAATTATGAATTGATGTGAAAATTTATTTTATTGTGAGAATATGTGATCAACAATTAATGTTTCCCTTCACTCATTGCATTTGACAAACTTTGCATTTAATTTTAAATTACAATCTTTGATGATCTAAATGTCACAGGGGAAATACAAAATGTAATGCACATTTTGTGACGATTAAGAATGCCATCCATAACGAGCTATCATGTTTAGGTTAACCCTTTTAAGTTAGAATTATAAGAAATAGAGAAGCCATAATTTTTTATGTTTTATGTCGACTCAAGAAATGAATCTTCATCTTAAAATGATATTCTTTGATTCAATTTTCATTGAAGGGGATGATTCTTTTATGGTCAACAACAATATTTCCTCAAACAAGACCACCTCCGTGCGATGAATCCAGTGAAACTTGCATCCCTCCAACAATTTTCCAATCCCTTTTTCTGTGTACTTCTCTTGGACTAATGTCCATTGGAGCTGGTGGAATCAGGTCGTCTTCGCTAGCCTTTGGGGCCGACCAACTCGAAAGCCGAGATGGTCGAAAAAATATGGCTGTAATGGAGAGCTATTTCAGCTGGTACTATGCTTCATATACATTATCTGTCCTAATAGCAGTAACTTGTGTTGTCTATATTCAAGATAACATGGGATGGAAAGTTGGTTTTGCTGTGCCTGCAGTGCTTATGTTTTTTTCAGCAGTTTCATTCTTTTTGGCTTCCTCGTTCTATGTGAAATTGAAGTGTAAGTCGAGCTTAGTTGTCGGGTTTATCCAAGTCATTACAGCCTCGTACAGAAGGCGACATCTAAAATTATCTGCAAATTGCACTGATGTTGTGTATCATTGCAAGGAAGGTTCAGCTCTGGTTTTTCCAAGTGATTCACTCAGGTTTCTGAATAAGGCTTGCATTGTTAAAAATCCAGAAAAAGATTTAACCCCAGATGGGAATTCTGCAGATTCATGGAATCTCTGTACAGTAGATCAAATAGAAGAACTCAAATCACTAATCAGAGTAGTCCCTATATGGTCTACAGGAATGATAATGTCTATAAACATTTGCCAGAATTCTTTCCCAGTGCTCCAAGCCACTTCCATGAATCGAAACATCGGTTCAGGTTTCAAGATTCCAGCAGGCTCGTTTGTTATGTTCACTGTGATATCCATTATACTATGGATTGCTCTCTATGATCGTGTATTTCTTCCCATGGCATCGAGAATAATGAGAAAACGAATTTATATAAGTACTCTGAATAGAATGGGAGCCGGGATTTTTCTCTCCTTTATGGCTATGGTGGTGACAGCAGTCGTAGAGAATATCAGACGGAGTTTTGCAGTTAGAGAAGGATGCGAAGATAAGCCACAGGCTGTTGTTCATTTATCAGCAATGTGGTTAGTGCCACAATACTGCTTGAGTGGATTTGCAGAAGCTTTGAATGCAATTGCACAGAATGAGTTCTACTTTTCGGAGTTTCCAAGAAGTATGTCGAGTATAGCTTCGACTCTGAATGGACTCGGGATGTCTGCGGCAAACTTGTTAGCAAGTTTTATACTAAGTTCTATCGATGATCTCACCAAAAGAGGGGGAAATGAAAGTTGGATTTCAAGCAACATTAACAAGGGACATTATGATTATTACTACTTGGTTCTTGCTGGATTGAGTATGGCTAACTTGATATATTTTCTTTTGTGCCGTAGGGCTTATGGTCCTAGAAAAGAAGAAAGGGAACAACCAGGCAACATGACAGTCTCATAAACGTTTTCCTAATACCTCAAGGTCGTCTTGGGACAGGGCTAGACAGTACGATGAATAAGATTTTAACTTCTTTTATATTATCCTTTTACACTGTCCAATACTATATAGTCCACCCCTACAGAATAAGCTGTAAAAGTATGACTTGATACGTGTATGGTGTTATTAGTATATTTACGGTAGTAGAGTGCCTGGCGAGGGGAATATGTAACTATAATCAAGATCCTGTTAGTACATTATGGTAAATGTGAATTTCCTCGTGTGATCTTTAATTTTTCCTCTTTCTAGAATAATAGTATGTGATGCACAAGGATTGTCAATTGATCAATCCAAATCAGCAAAGATATACAAATTGGTATAGGAGAAGACACGAGGCCACAGGTTCATGTAAAAACAGAAAATTCTGATAAACAATGCAGTCGGAATTCAAAAGATTCACTTAAAGATATAATATATTCGCAACTCTCCAACGGTTTTATTTTGCCACCATCTGCACCCCAAACTAGACAGCCACAACATTGCACTTTGGTGAATAGCAGCCAACTCAGGAAAAAATTAAATTTAGTAACTGTACAGAAATAACAGTCAAACTTACGGAAAGAGGTATTGCCTGAACATATCCATTCATCGGCTTCAACAGTTTGGACTGTATCACTATCATCAACAAACACAAGCATTTCTAGCAAGGATCAGATGCCTTTCACTTCCTGACCAAACTTTTCTGCAGTTTAATAAAGGAGTGTTAAATCCCAAGGAAAATGAAGTAACATATATATTCAATGAATTTAAAAAAGATTGCCTTTCCTTATCGCCCCAGAAATCAAGAAGAGTGCTTACACCCAACATATCCATACCAGAACTTAAGGACAAGTCCGTTTTCATTCTTAAGAACATTCACATAATGTAATGCGTGTGTACATGCATATATGGAATTTTGAGAAAAGAGTTAAATGTTGTTACATGCAAATAGCCAAATGCAACATATTAGAGAGGTTCTGCTATCCATAAAACATTTTATGCCAAGAAAAAGAAGGGATAACGCAAACTAGTAGACACATACCAGCGCTGAGTATAGGAATGTGAGTCCATGCTATGGTGCCAAACCATAATTTCTGACGATTCATGAGGTAAGCATTCCATTTGACTTTCATCCTCCACAATTTGTTCTATAAATGTACTTGCCTACAATGCAAGCATATAATGTCAGTACAAGATATGAATATAAATAAAACATCATCCTTCATTCTCTCCCGTACTCTTTGTTCTTCCCTGTTTAAAAATATTTTCCCTTTTTTTATCATTCATCCACCTTGAGTAAGATAAGACACCAGGAGCATGTTTTGCTAAGTAGCAACATCTTGCTTCAAACATGTTTGGTAACTTGCTTTTTTAACTTTTAGTTATTAAAAAAAGAAAAAGAAAAAAAGAAAAAAGAAAAAGTGAATTACTTATTTGGACTCTTACCTTACTGTTGAAATGAGTAACTTATTTCAAATTTTGACCAATGAGAAAAAATTATTTAGAACTTACTTAAAAGCGAACTTCTGAATTATTTAGAACTTACTTATTTACTTATAAGCGAACTTCTTAAGATAAGTCAAACGTGCAACAGGTCCAACTACTTTAAGCTGACCTATCACATTATATGGCATGTAGGACATAATTAGGTTAAAATTTCAAAAAATCCAGTAGGAATTTAAATTGTTGTAGATCGAATGCTTATAGAGTGATATACTATATTGACACTGAATTCATTATTGTTACAGACACACTCACTTGGAAACCTTCTTTTACTGCATCAAGCTGCCTGATTGGTTCAAGGGTAGGTCGGTGCCATCTCTTTGGATCCCAAATAACAGTACTGTTAAAGGCAAAACCTGACATCTCGGCATGGAATCTTCGAAATCCTTCTGTCAAGTCATCTATGTGCCATCCTATTACTTGAGAACCATTACAGATTGGACCCTCCAAGATAATTTCGTTTCTGCTTTCCATCAACTTCACCACTGTCCATGTCCCAAACCGCCTGCATTTGGAACATGTATCAATCAAAACAAAGGAAAGAAAGGTTGAGATCATGACAATCATAAGTTTACATAATCATTCATCATTTTCTTAATGACATCTAAAGCCATTCATAGAGGCTTACCCAGGAGAAAAGGTAAAACTAATCATCCAGAAGGGTTGAGCTACCGAAAGCATGTGAATCTCCTATTTTTGTTTGAGCCCCATTATTTTCTCATTAAAATGAAAAATATGACAATTCTCCATCACATCAAATCACCATATTTGACTTTTTATCTCTTGTGTGGGATCATAACAGTTATATTTTTCATTTTTATTTTTACAATAATGTGGCTCAAACGGGGGCTTAATGTGAAAAACAACTGTTTAAGAATTCAAACAATGTATAAAGAGAAAAGGAGAGTGAAAAGAAAAGGGAAGTTGGAAAATGAGGAAGGAAAGGGTTTTCCATTATTTGGTTGTAAGGCAACTCCACAACATAAAAGGGAAGGGACAGTAAGGTAAAAACTGAACTGCTTATATATTGTTTTAACTTGTATTTGGCACATTCCAACCACAAATCAACTTTGAAAGACTAAGAAATCACAAGACAGAGCATTTTCCTGCATTGTCAACACTTGAAAAGTAACATGAACCTAATCATTTGCTTGCCTTTGGTTTTAATTTAAATTATTTAATTAATATATTTTTTTTTTGGTAAAAACTATTAATTAAAAGTTAAACTTAAAGACCAATTTATTTAAATCTTTGCATATATAATGCTTATGCAATAGCAAATGCATCACATATCTGCTTCGTAGTTCGTGGTTTACTTTAGCACTATGCATTGTATGCCTAAGGAAGGTATAAGTTCATGTTAATTGGACTGTAGGTCTTGGTTTCTGTTTGATTCACATAACAAGAACAACAAACAAAATTTGGTAAAAATTCCACATTGACTTATATTCTGATAACATAATTAGTAGTAATTACAAATAAAAATCGTAAAAATATTTAAACTTTGAAGAGATTGAGAATTATTTATTAAATAATGATATTTAGGACTAGAAGCTTCAGCTACTAGAAGATATAAAGATGAGAAACCTGCAGGTGAAGCTTCTTTGTCTATATTGATTTTATTATAACAAAAAATTCAAAGAGTAATAGTCGGAGTGAACAGCAGGAAACCACTCTGCCAGCATTCTAGTTTTATGCATCTCAAGCAATCTACACAGTCTGAAGCAAATGAACTAAGTTTTTCAGTCTGGCAAGATCTCGCATCATAACAATTGCTCTACATTAAACAACATTAATCACCCTTGAGAAAGCAAGGCACTCCGTGGCTACGCTAGTAATGTGCTTTCTATATAGTACAATAAACAATATTTTAGGCCATCTCCAATGTTGACACCAAAATACCAAATTGCACCAAAAAATGGTGCAAAACTACTACAATACGACACCAAACTTTGCACCAAATGGTCCAAAGTCAATTTTACCCTTTATTTTCATTTCCCAAATAAATTGATTAAGGGTATTTGTGTCATTTGTGCTATATATTTTTTAATATAATAAATTATTATTATTATTATTTGCAATTAAAATAAATTTAAAATGTAAAAAATAATATATATTTTTTAATATAATAAAATTAATATTATTATTTTCATTTAAAATAAATTTTAAATGTAAAAAAATAATAATTAATGAATTAATTAAAATAAGAATACAAAAAAAATTAAAATATAACAAACACTATTATTTAAAGTTAACACAAAATATATTACAACAACGACATAATATCCAAATTCCGAATTCCGAGAATTAAATTGGAATAATATTTCGACTTAGTAATATTATAATATCCAAATTCGAAATGTATTGCACTATTTTTTAAATGACAAGATTTAATATTTTCATTTTTGTAGTGTTTTTACAAATTGTACTATTTTTTTATATTTATTAATGAATTTAATCTTTTCCTAAATTTAACGTAATTATTTATTTAGTAATTTATGTATTTGTAAAATAAATAACTAAATAAATAATATTTCAAATAAATAAATTATTAAAAATAGAATAAAATGGTTAAATACTGTTCATTTGGTGTAAATTTTGGTGTAATGATTGAAAATGAATCTTAGTTTGATGCAGATTTTGGTGTAGGGTTGGAGATGGTCTTTAACATTTTTTTTTTCTTATTCATAATGTCCAAACCAGTTCTAGATGCATATCAAGCATACCCAATGTGCTCACAAGTAGAATTAACTTTCCAAGCAGGTGTGATCACAGTTCCACTACTCTAGACGCACTATGATGTTCATTTAAATTTATCCCAACAGAACAGAAACGAGCTCTTGAAACTTGATCAAAATGATCTGCTTATTTGACCTTCACAATTAATTCTAACCATAAACCCGTGCTTAGAGTTGGTACAGTTTATGCATAATCATGTTATTTCCTTTAGTATTTTGCTTGGAGTAAGTTTTATTTTGCTTGGAGTAAGTTGTTTTGTTTTTTAAAGGGGGTTCCACAGTAACATTTAAGTTCTATAGTCACTTAAGCATGAGTATTTTAGTCCTAAATTATTAGGAATCGTGCTAGGTTTTCTTTCTCATACATAGTGCAGCGAACGAAGTTTTATTTTTTCCTCATGGTAATATTAATGTATCTTGACAACTATAACTTAAAGCTTTCACTAGGCTCTACATATCTCGCAGCGATACAGTTACTGTTTGATAGAAAAAGTACCTGATCTGCCTCATTTGGTGAAAGAGATCAGCGGAATATATGTTATCATCATCTGCAAAGTATACAATTCCCTCAAGACGGTGTGTTTCAATGTGGGAAAGAGCCACATTCCGCAGGTGCACTCTTCTGTCTTTCATGTCAGTTGAGTTCTTACTGCAGAATAGATGCCTGTACATGACCCCAGTTTTCCTCAAAAAATCAGCCATTTCCACAGATTGTGAGTTCATTTCCACGATGATCCACAGGAAAGGACGTGGAACCAATTTTAATGTGTGTGCTAAACGATTGAGATAATATGCTTGAAGGGGTTGAGCATGTGTCGGCGTCACAATGATCACAAGTTCATGGAACACCAGATCTGAACCTTGATTAACAGAACTTGAAGAACTATAGGAAATAACATTGTCCTTTGGTTCAGTGTTCATCCCATGAGGATCTAATGTTGCATTTTCATTTACGGACAATCTGCCAAGTATCGATTTCTCATTTCTTTTCCCGCCATGAAACTGGCTGTTGTGAACTGGTTGGACCACCTCGAAGTAGAAATCTTGGTGTTTAGACATGAAGTTCGTGGATAAATTCAGTGAAACAAAAGGGGTGAATCCAACAAAAACCCCGGCAACAAAACATACTAAGAAATGGAAAAGAGCTCTCCGCCAAACTTGTCCCTTTACCCTCGATCTATCTAAGGAATGAGAAGATCGTTGTGATAACAGGCTGAGTATAAAATTTTGCACTTTGTACAATGCATAGTCAAGTGAACCCAGTGACGAAGCCAAGACACTACTATGTGGTGGAGGGTTCAAACCGTTTGAAGACGACTTAGACAGAGGAGATGCAGCTTGAAATGCTTCCCCATTCATTAAACTTCCAGGTCGAGGCACCGGAGACAATGTTCTTCGAATTGATGCCATCAGAAATTCTATCTTTTTTTCAATATTTCAATTACAATTGCAACCAAACGATTTGCCTTATCGGGTAATCATCTCCTAAACTTGGATGCATCAATCTAAACAATACCGCTACAAATTAGTACCCATTCTGCCAAGCCAATTATCTGCAGTACAATGCCAATACGAAAACCACAACCAAAGAATTTTTCGTGTCTTGATTGGTACTGTCTCAAAGTAGAGGATAATTTTTTCCTTTATTGCCGCTTTTCAAAGGAAAAAGGCTGACTCATAACCCGTTCTGGATCAAATTGCTCATTCATCTTATCACACTAGTCACTCCCACATCTAATACAAAAATATATTTAAAAAAAAAAAGCCACTCCCACATCTAATACAGAAATATATTAAAAAAAAATAAAAAAATTCTACTTTTCTTCTAAGAAATGCATTCTCAGAAATAACATTAAAAAAAGTCCAACTGAAAAAATAATCTTTTATCGAGCTTAATTCACTGAATGTATCTACATTTATAAAGGAAGATTTTTCCTTCCAGCTAATGGAAACTTCCCAAGACCATGAAATCAAATCATAAAGAACCCACAACAGAAATACCCAGATTTTCCAATTCAAGCCTCCACAAACCAAAAGATTTGAAGTCTAAATAGCAAGAAATATGTGCTCAAATGAAAAGAATTACCATATTTTTATCCGGAAAGATATGGGACTTCAATCTTTCAAACAAATCTGCAAGGCAACAAACCAAAAAACACTGAAGTAATATAATAGAACAAAGAGAATGTTGGCTGAATAATTCCTTCGAAAGTTGTAACTTAATTTGAGTAATCGAGAGACTTCTCAAAATGTAGTGTTCTTGAATCTTGGAAAGACTATAAACGAGTTGAATGGACAATTCGTAGAATAAGTGCGTCTGGCGAAGAAAAGGTGTGAAACACACACACCAGACACACCAAACCACATGCGACTATGCGAGGCAGCGAGGAAATTGAGACATTGTTAATATAATATATAGGAAAAATTAGGCTGGACAAAAAAAATTGAAAAATCGAAATCGAATCGAATTGACGTAGATCGGTTCGTGTCAGTTTGATATAAGTAATCTGTTTGATTTGGTTTGATTTTCTTTTAAGCAAAATCACGGTAATTTGATTTAGTCGTGATTTGAAGTCTCAAATCGTTGATTAATCAAACCGAAACAACAAACTTACATTTTTTTTTTAAAAAAAATTAAGAAAATAAAAATCAGAAGATGCTTCAGTAACCTTATAAAAATATCTCAATTCACCCCAATATATGATATTGTCGGTAAGTAATAGCATAGAGAATTTCCTTTCGCAAGCTTATTATGCTATACTTAACACTTTTTCTCATCTCGGGCTATTGTAGTATAATACTTCAACTGACGAGAAGAAAAATGGATGACTGAAATCGCTGTTAGACTACATATTACATAGAAAAACAACACTTTTAAGTTTTCTTTTAATCCGTCTATATTAATCTGATTTTATTTGTTAGTCAATAGTTTTTGTAATATAAAATTATTTGTTTATTTTAGTTCTTGTAATCTAAGTAGACCCAAAATTAGGACCATTTTTTTAAAAAAATCAATTACAATCGAAAAGTTAGAGTGGGCTGGTTTGAGTTAAAATTCGTCCAAACCGACTAATTTGATTTTAGTTCCGAAAAATCGATTCAAATCAAACCTCGCCCAGACTTAGGAAAAATAATTATGGATATCCAATCTACCTGAAATGTGACAAGTTTTGTTAACTATCCTGTTGTAAAGATAGTGGGTTGGTAGGGTACATAATCTTGAATTTGTTCTAATTACTCACTAATTGTTAGTGTATTACGTGAGGCGTTCATGTAATCTAATTTTGAGTCATGGATTTACAGATTATATATTTCAATATATTTCTTGAATTTGATTAAATTTCCATAAAATTCATAAGAATCTTAAAAAAAAATGCGAAATTTCAAAAGAGTTATACATTCTTAAGTTTGAAATCCATCAAAATCATTTAAAATTCCTCTATTGATGGAATCCTCATTAAAATCTCAATTCGGAATATCTGAATTGGACTTTTAAGATCCATCAACTCATTAAAATTCTCAATTCAGGATATCTGAATTGGACTTTTAAAATCCATCAAAATATCAATTGAGGATACCCCTAGAAAATTGTCTCTTTGACTGGAAGTTAAAATTTTCCAATTGCCAGTAAGAATTAAATTTTGAAAAATTACAAACGTATTTAATTACCATTTTGCCGTTTTAAATCTCGTTGTCTAATATAATTTTAATGAATTAATGAAATAAAAATGTCAAACGTAGAAACATTTTTGAAAAATTAGTAAATGTACTCTTTGATGCAAGATAGGATAGAAATTATTCTAATTGATAAAATATATTTAGCTTGTACAAAATTTTATTGGGTTTTAGTCAAATTGAATTGATCTCGAATTTGAAGAATGTATTTTTGAATTGTAGATTGATGGAGAACGTATTATTAAAAAAGAAGGAAATTTTTTTTATTTGCATATAATATTATTTTAATGAAGAATACGTGGTTGAAAAGAAGAGAAAGAAAAATGAATTTTAGGAAAAATGAGAATTAAACATGATAGAAATAGAACTGTAGTTTTTCTTTCTACTTCTGGATTTAACAGTAATTGAAAACAAAATCAACTCTCTCCAAACAAAAATTTGTTTCGTTCTTGCTTCTTTATTTTTGGAATTAATTTTGCTCTGAAATTATTTGTAGTTGGAGGATAAAAGTGAGGAACACAAATAGTTGCAAGACCAAAGTTTTACAAAGGAATAGTTTGAGGACCAAAGTGGCACTTGCTTACAATTGGAGGAAAAATTGATGCTGTCGATATTTCGAGAACCAAAGTCGTGCTGACTAATGGTTGGAATAGTTAAAGGACGAAAGTGGGGCTTACTGATAATTGGATAAAATAATTTGAATAGTTTGAGGACCAAAGTGGTGCTGAATATAGTTGGAGGGTCAAAATGGAAATACATTGTTGCAGGACTAAAGTCGTGTTGAGAGATATTTGGAGGATAAAATTGGTGCTTATGAATAATTGAAGCATCAAAATGATGCAAAAGAATAGTTAGAGATAGTTGGAGGATCAAATTGAGGCTAACAGTACTTGAATGACCAAAATAGTGATGACAAATAATTAGAGGACTAATGATGTGCTGACTTAAGTTGGAGGACCAAAATGGTGCTATCCAATATTTTCTGGACTAAATTGATGCTGTGAAACAGTTTGAGGACAAAAGTGACTATGTTTATTAGTTGGACAAAGCCCAGACTGTAGCAAGAACTCAAAGCTTAGAATTTATAGACAACTCAAAGTTTTATTTGAATCAATCCCCATGTGTAGGGATTGTCCACATGCACTTAACAGGTGCTACTAACCTTTATGTTGCCTTTATTTTTATTTATTTTGGTATTTTGGCTAATGATGAATAAGAAACTATCATACGAAACCCATTTTCCGTACACCAAGCATTTATATACGACAAATTTTTACTATAGACATGTTGGTCTGAAGACTCTATATATATATATTAGTAGTAAGTGAAAAAAAAAATATTTATATTAATAGTATATGGGAGATTATTTACAAAATAAATACTAGTTATTTTAGAATTTGTCCATTGTTACGAAAGATTTCAATTGACAAAATTATTTTTATGTGCTAAAAATTTTTAAATTTACATTTACAATTTACTCCGTGTTTGATAAAAGTTTTTTTAAAATTTTGTTAACTTTCAAGTGGTCATTTTGACCACATATTTAATCTACTTTTATCAAAATCTGTTAAATTTTTTGTCAAAAATTTTATTGCACATTCCCTTAAAAAGAGTTATATATTATTATAATATTACTTTAGAAATTGAAAATAAATTTATTTATATCGTCATAAAGGATATATACTTTCAATGAAATATAATATTACTTTAAACATTGAAAATAATTTAGTTAATATTGTCATAAAGGAAAATTTCAATGAAATTTGACTAAAAACCAGTGTTTCTTTAATAAACAAAGCAACTTCATACGTAACAATTGTTATTTATACACTAAGAATTTTAGGCCCTGTTTAGTTCAACTTAATCTTTTCGCAAGCTTAATTTATAGAGTGTATCTTCATTAAAAGCGATATTTTTCCTTCAAGCTAATGGAAACTTCCCAAGATCATGAAATCAACTCGCAAAGAACTCGTAACACAAAAACCCAGATTTTCCAAATTTAGGTCTCCGGGAACACTGGAAAGAGTGTGTTTGATTTGCTAAATTTTTCTTTAAAAATGTTAATTTTTCCACCCAAAATTTCTACTTTTGGGGTGTTTGGTTGACAATTTTTTCAAGGAAAATATTTTTCAACTTTTAGTCATGTGATCATATTTTCTTTAGGGAGATGTGGTTTTTATTTTCTAGGTAATTCACTTTCTTTTCTCTCTCACATCTACCCACCAATAAAAAATTGACAAGTATAATATTTTATAGGTTTAAAACTAAATCAATCAAATACATTTAATTAATAATTTTCATACAAATAAGTTGTAAAACAATTGATTGCTTGAAATTTATTTTTTTCCATGTAAATTTCATGCTCGCAATCAATCGCGTCCTAAGAGAATATTGGCTGAAAATCCCTTCGAAAATTGCAAGTCAATTTGAATAATCGAGAGACATCTCAAAATGTAGTGTTCTTTAATCTTGGAAAGACTATAAACGAGTTGAATGGACAATTGCTAGAGAAAGTGCAAAGAAAAGGAATGAAACGCATATACAGAGACACCAAATCACATGCGACTATGCGAGGCAGCGAAGAGGTTGGGACATTGTTAGTATAATATATAGGAGAAATTATTATGGGTATCCAATCTATATAAAATATAACGAGTTTTGTTAATTATCCTGATACTTTTGCAAATTTTGTAAATGTGGTAGGCTGGTAGGGTACTTAATCATAAATTTGTTTTTAACTAATACCTAATTATTAAAAAAAAGGTTGAACCCCAATCTTGAGGGCCTCCACCGTCTCGTCCCTGGAGTATTATGAGGAAGGTAAATCGCGGGATGTGCCCTAACAGGGCAGGGAATAAGAACTTGCTCGTACACTTGTGCTCACAAAGAATCCAATTCCATATGTTAGGAATCGAACCCTCACAATGCGACTGCCAGTAAGGTTGAGACTACCTCACTTCTTTCCTTTACACCACTGGATTATGTCCCAAGGGAAATACCTAATTATTAATATACCATGTGAGCGTGTTAGTGTAATCTAAAATAAATTTGAGGGAAGAAGGTGATGTCCGCAGTTCAGATTTTGATGGATTTTAAAAGATTATAAATTTTAATGAATTTCTTGAATTTGAATAGAATTCTACAAAAATTATAAAAATCTCATTAAAAATGTCAAGAAAATTCAGTGGAACAAAACTTGATCGAAGGAAAAAGAGTGCATTTGCTCCCCTTGATTTTAATAAATGGAAATTATTGTACCAAGTTATCCATTTCTTGTACGTCAATGTCTTCAATTGCAATTTTCGGTAAAGTATGTCTCATGTTGTCTCGTATAATCTTTAATTAACATTGTCTTTATAATATATATTTATCAATATTTCATTACTGTAGTAACATAATGATTCGAAAAATAGTTCTATTGATCTCTTCAGAAGTCTTATACATATAAGAGTATTATTTTGAGAGTAAATATTTTTATTGGTTATGGACATTCGTTACACAAAAGAATATTCCTCATTAAAATCTTATTAGAAAAAATCTTGTAAGAAAATTCCTAATGAAAAAAAAAGTACATTTATTCTTTTGAATACACTACAAAAGTTGTATTATTAAAAATCTTGTCACAAAAACTCGACGGAACAAAACATTGGTCAAGGAAAAAAGAGTACAATGCGTATTTTTCTCATCGTGATAATAT